GGGCAATGAATGTACAAATGCACTTTACACAATTAATGTGTTTATGGATTGTGATAAGAGTTGTATGAGCCCCTAATAAAATGATTAAAAAATAAAAAAAACACTTTAATATCATTCCAGATAATTGAATATATTTCTTTGATACAACACCCAAACAAAATGGTATTTTCTTCAATAAACTTTTATAAATACATAAAATAAAATAAAAAAAGAGCAATCTACCAAATTGTACTGTTTCTTTTTTTTTTTTTTCTTGTAGAAACAAGATCCTAAGTTCACTTACGAGGTGATAGTTGTTGATGATGGAAGTAAAGACCAGACTTCAAAGGTAAATAAACTTCCTTATAGAATTGCCACGTGGTAGGCCAAAGAATATTTCCGCGAATGTGAAATCTCTTTGCTCCATAGGGGACCCCTAAATTTAGCTGTGCCTTGCACTCTGTGGTTGCAGCATGGGATAGAGGAAAGTGCACACAGAGTTTGCTTATGGGACATTTATCTCCTGTCTTTGTGCTCCACCAGGCTAGGGAAGCTCATAAAATCACCAGATCGAGGCAAAGCATACACATTAACCATTAACCTTGGCCTCTTAGGGAAACCTCTTTACCTAGCAATTTGTCCCATTCTTTTTTCTAAGCATAATCCCTTTCTTTATGCTCCGCCTTGCCTTACAGTTACTAAAGCAGGCATGCACATAGGAAGAGGCCTTCATATCTGCCACTGGGTATCAGGTATGTCCTTTGGCATGGCCCCCCGTCGAGGTTTACTCTGGGGGGAAGCAGTGTCCTAGTGCTTTGTCCCCACCCATCCCTACCTTTCTAGACTTCTCACTGCTGTGCCCCGTGCATTGACGTTTGGAAGGGGCACAGAATCCTTGTCCAGATGACCTGCTCCCTAACCATCGAAGTGTATGTATGATTAAGAAAGCCTCACAGTGCTTCTCTGACATTCTTGCCTCTGCAACAGGAGATGTTCTTGCTAAATAGCAATATTAAACAAAACAAGACAAAAAGCCATTGCTGTCAGGTCAGCTCCTGACGCCTGATGTTCCCGTGTGTGACAGCAGAACTGCGCCACCCTGTGGAGGCTAATCCCCAGGCCTCCACGGTGCTGTCGGGGTGGTGGGCACAGCCAGCTTTGAAGTTAATGGCACCATTAACTAATAGCCGGGAAATTGTAAATCCCCTAAAGCAAACCCTTTGTCACTGAGTCCGTTCTGACTCAGCAACCTATGGGGTGTCCAAGGTCACCGTGGGCAGAGCAGCTGGTGCCTTGCTTAGCAGGAGTCTTTTAACCACTGTGCCACCAGGATTCCTTCCAGGGACTGCTAAACCAAAACCCAAGGTCCTAGAGTGGGCTCTGATTCACAGCGACCCTGTGCAGTTTCTGAGACTCCATACCAAAACAAATAGTCTCCTCTTTCTCCGGTGGAGTGGCTGGTGGGTTTGAACTACTGACCTTGTGGCTAGCTGTTCAACGCCTCCTTGACAGTGCTACCAGGTCTCCTAGGGACCTGTACTCTGCCATTGCATCAATCCCAACGCTTAGCGAGTCTCCAGGATGGTAGAAATGCCCCTGTGGTTTTCTAGGGCTTTAACTCTACAGGAGTAGAAAGCCGCATCTTTATGTCATGGAGCCACTGGTGGTTTCGAACTGCACACCTCGCAGTTAGCAACCCAATGCATGTCACACCACACAGCCAGGGTTCCTATAGTGGGACCTGTAGTGGGCCATAAATTAACTATGTAGGGAACTATCCAGTTACTTGATTAGTGATTAGTCATTTTTATAAGCAGCTGTGTGTGCACAAAGTGCTAAGTACTAGGTGGTTCAGACACACAGCTGCCTGTCCCTTTGTGTAAGGCTGCCCCAGGGCCATGCACCAGGCCCACACACACACTGCTCTGTCAGTGAAAACGAGCCCCGAATCAGATGCTCTCCAGCCTTGGAAAGAAAAGGAAGTAACGATTTAAACTGTTAGGGATGGTTATGATGTGGAACACGGAGAAGAGTATGTTCAGATTGTGTTTCAAAAACAAACAAACAGTACAAACAAAGGTCTAGAGACCAAAAAGAGCTGGTGGGCCCTGCTTAGGGAAGGTGAAGGCTGCCCTTTAGATGGGAGTGTGATGCAAAAGCTACGAACACAACGTATTTCAGGTGTTGCTAAATAAGAAGGAGCGAGCCTAGGAAGAGCCCCTTGCACACCTGCTGGGAGCACAGACGCAGCCTCCCCTTAGCTGTGGAAGAGCACTTTGGGCCTGTGCATAGCAGTATCATCTGGAAGGATCCAGGCCCCTTGTGCCCAGCGGGACAAGTAGCAGGGACTGGAGCTGGGCAGGTGACCTAACAACTTCCAAAGCTGGGAGAAGCAGAAAGCGCGAAATCATATCTCGTATGAATTCTCAGTAAAATCAGTAAGTAGTTAACTCCTAAGTTGAGTATTTGTGGATTTATTTTTAAAAGCATAGCTATGCCTTGCAGTGTCCCCAGCGCACCTTCTATGTCTTGCCCTTGGAGAAACATAATCCTTGTTCCTAAGTAGTTTATGGACTGAGAAGGCCAAATGTACGCGCAACGTAAACAACACTGGAGTGTACTGCAAGTGCACAGTGACATTTTTCCACCCTTAACAAATAGATTTGATAGGTGAGTGAGCACCAACTCTGAACTAAACACACACTAGATGGGGAAGTGACAGCTGCTACAGTGTCCCTGTCCAAAGGGCACCCTCTCAAACTTCAATACCCAGGTATGCCATGGAGGCGTGGCACCAACATACGCTTCTCTGAAGCTAGCATCAGCTAATTATACAGAGACGTGGTCTTCCTGGTTTGGAGCCTTGTGCCATTTCAGAACACACCAACACCTCCGCTGATGTTTGAATAGACGCGTCTCCAGCAGCTGTGAGCATGCGTCCCAGACAGGTGCTGGGATGCAAAGATGTAAGACCAGGCTCTGCCTTGAGATTCACACCTAACACCAGGTGACACATGCGGTCATTGGAACAGAGTTGTCTTAAATGTGTGTACCCGTGAGGAGGGGTCTCAGGAAGAGTCACTTAAGAAATACACGCATCTAGCCATCTCATGGGCCAGGCCGTCTGAAGGGGGCTCTTTCTAGAGAGGCCTCCCTCTGAACTGTCAGGTTGGACACACATCTTTTCAATTCTCATTGCCATTTCATCACAAAAAGGGTCCAACTCCAAATACCGTGCACCTTGAAGCTATAAATAACAGCCAAGGCTTGATGAATTCCCTCCCTCTGCCCCGTGTGTCAGCACTACACCACTGGCCGTGCACATTGTTATTAGGAAGTATTGATGGACATGGAAACCGTGGTGGGGTTGGGGGATGGTGCTTGAGCTGTCGTGGCCAATCCTAATAGGTGAGAATGCTAGAATGTAATCCGGTAAGAGAAAGCCTAGCCATGTGAGTACATGGTGTGTTCTGGCTGCCTCACATGCTGCTCATGAAACAAGGGACTAATGGTGCTGTCAGTGAGCATTGGACTGCTAACCCCAAGGTCAGTGGTTCAAACCCAGCAGCCACTCCTCGGGGGAAAGATGGAGCTATCAGCTCCCATAAAGACGCATACCCTCCCACACACCTTATATTATAGGATCCTGTGAGTCAGAATCAGCGCAATGCCAGTGGGTTGGGTTTGCTTTTAGTGAGGCAGCATCAGGCCCTGCGGCGAGGAAAGTTAGGCAAAGGCCACGTCTGTACCTTGACGTGATATTTATAAGCAGTTAACTGTTATTGAAAGGATTTAAACCAAGGGGACCATTAAAATTTGCAGATTAGAATAGTGCTCCTATAGCACCGGGGAATGAATTTGGGAGTCAGGACAGAGATGTGAGGCCCACAGGGTCGGTCATGAGATGATGATGCCACCGAGCATTTTAGAAATGGATTTGACAAGTCTCAGTCGCTGGCCAGTTGTGACTGCTGCTAACGTGGGAGAGCAGGAGATGCTTCTCGGGCCATCCACCTGAGCAGCCTGGCAGGTGAGGATGCCTTTCACTGCAGTGAGGAATATAGGGCTCCAAGAAGTGGGGAAATTCCACTCTTTAAACCACTTTGCCACAGACCACTTGAAGCCCTGTCGTCGAATGAGCAGGAGGAGGAGGTGACTTGAGAGTCTACTCTAGGGTGTGTCTGACAAAAGCCTGGGTTATTGTGGACCAGTAAGATTGATCAGCATATCATATAAATAGGAATTAAAGCCAACAGTGGTTCCTGCTGTGTGGCTGTCCAGAGAAGCTTCAAAGGGCTTGCTGTGGGGTTATACAACAATATGCCTCAAGGGCATATCAGTGTTGGTGTTTTTCCCTTTTGTTGTCTACTTAATCGTTTATTTTGTGGATGAAGTTCACTGTGAAACCGACAGAAAATGTATCTGGCGACTGTTGCAATGGGTTACTTAGTAAGATTCATTTCCTATGCTGGCCTACAGTTGGAACTGGCAGGCACATCCCCAGCCCTGGGAGCGCTCGGGTCCTCCTCGATGCACGCCTCCTGGCTGCTTCGCCACCTGGCTGGCACTGTGGTCCTGTCATGCACCTGCTTTTGTCCAGGTTGCTTTCAGGACCCCTCACTGGTGATGCACGGCTGGGAAGTGGCTGGGGTGGTGTGTTCTGTTCTGGAGGCTGTCAGCCCAGACCGGTCATTACTGAGGACGGTGACGCAGGAACTGTGCAGGGCCCATCTGGTGGCTGCCCGCCACCCGGGGCCAGTCCTTGGCTCACACACACACACTTTCTGCTATTTCCTGAGGTATCAGTGCCTAAGGGGCAAACTGAGGAAGAGGAGGCAGTGATGATCATTGAAAAGGAAGCATTGGGGAAGGAGGAAACACCAATGAACAGAGACCGTTGCATTTAGCATTGATGGTCAAAGGGAGAGAGAGTGTAAATGGAAAATGGGTGAGGAAAGGTGAACGTGTGAGCCACGTGACCCTGAGTTGAGAAACAAGACAACTGGGGGTGCAGAGAGGTAAGTGGCAAGTATGGGTTGTCATTGCCCAACAATTTTAAAAGTAGTTTTATTGGCATATGCATTACATTATGCAATGTAATTGATCAGCCACATTAAGAAGATTGTATAGTCACCACCATCAACCTTAGGACATTTTCTTCTCGTTACTCCTCGTTGCTAGCTCCCCATTTCCCCTGCCATGCCCCTCCCTCAGGGAAGAGGCTGTTGCTGGGGGACGAGTGAAGTGTGAGGTGGGCTTTGGAGAGGCTGGAGCAAGTGGGAGGCTGAGGAGGCAGCCCCGGCGCAGAGATGGAAGACTCGGAAGCAAAGAACAAGGAATGGCCCGGTTGGTGTCTGCTGGGAGGAAGGTTGGCGAGAGGGAGTCCAGGGTATGGACAGCCTGCTGGTCAGACAGGTAGCCACGTTTCGTGCTTTGGATCACGCGGGTGTGTGAGCACGTGCACTTCTTCATCTCCCAGCAGCGCAGTCACTCAGAAGAGTCGAGGAAAGAAGCTGACCACGCTGTTCCGGTGGTTCCTCCACGAGTGGCTCCGTGTCAGAGCTGCGTGGGGATTCCCTGGCTGCTCTAGGCCACAGATCGCGCAGAGGGCATGGTACCACGGGAAAGGGTGCACTGGCACAGCAGGGGTTGTCACCAAAGTAAAGCACACTTTCTAGAACTTCGTTGGAACCCAGTTCATTTTAATCTGCCTTTCTTTTAACAGGTAGCTTTCAGGTATTGCCAGGAATACGGCAGTGACAAAGTGCGGGTGATAACGCTGGTGAAGAATCGCGGGAAAGGCGGAGCCGTTCGGACGGTAATACATATTTTAACCATCCTTACCTAAAACACAGGGCCCCTGAATTACCACTTTTGTAGACAGTAAAACATATACGAGGGGTTACCCAAAGTACACTAGATTTCTTTTTCAAAGCTATGTATTTAAATTTTTTACAAAACAGCCTTATTACCTTCAAAGTACTCTCCATTATAATTAATTCATATGTCAGATCTGTGATTCCATTCTTGAAAACATTTTTAGACTCATCTGTTTGGATGGCTGACAGCACCTCGCTCATTTTTTCTTCACCTCTTCTACTTCATTAAATCACTGCCCTTTCATGTCCCTCTTTATTTGTGGAAACAAAACGAAGTCACATAGAGTGAGGTCAGCGTAGTAAGGTATGTGGGGCAAGAGAGGAGTACTGTTTTGTTGTTGTTGTTGTTTGCCAAAAACTGGCACACTGAGATGGCTGCGTGAGCAGGTGCATTGTCATGGTGGGAAAACCAGTCCCCAGTCTGTCACAAATCAGGCCTTTTTTGTCGCATTCTGTTACACTATCTTTTCAGAACCTCTAAATAGACAGCTTGATTAACAGTCAACATTTTTGTCCGTTTGGGAAGTTGACGGGCGTCCAGAACAAAGTTTGTCATCGATCGACATTTCACCATTTTTTGAAAGGAGCAAACCACTTGTACACTGAGTTTCTCCAATAGTGATGTCCTTGTAAGCTGTGTTTAGCATCACAACAGTTTCTGTGGCATTTTTCCCCAAGCAGAAAACAAAATTTCATAGCCATATGCTGTTCTCTTTAATCAGCCATCATAATAAACCAGGTTCAAGTGAAACTGCTTTTACGATAAAATTGGCTGTGGCCAGAGAGAACCTTCCCAGATGATGCCACCAGGTGCACTAACTCAGAACGGAGTTTCTCAAAGCTTGCCTAGCAGGAAAAATGGATACTATGAAAGCTCTACCCAGTAAAATTCCATTTTTTTAGGGTGGGGGTACTCCCTCGTATATCCTACAGTTAGCTAATCAAGTATCAACATTTTGAGTTATTGAGGATATTTTGAATAATAATCATACATACATACATATAGCTGAAACATTCAGCTATATATATGTATAATATACTATGCCATTATATTCATGTGGAAAATATGTTCGCGTGTATCTTAATCACATATTTAAAATGTTGCCACCTACCTGTATGTGTCTTTGATTTGAGACACCTTTAATAAGAGTGATGTTCTTGCAGCTTATGAAATGCTTCTGTTTATTAAATTTTTCCCATGTGAAGGCACGGGGCTATGCTTGGCCTTGAGATCTAAGATGAATCTGACATGTTCCAGCCCCTGTGAAGTTTACCGTCTCAAGGAACAGATAGCATGTGGCTAACAAGGGAAGTGGTTCTGCTTATGAGAGGGGCCAAATGAAGCACTCACCAGATATTGTGGCTCAGCTCGCAGAGTTGTGTACAGAATGTTGGCGGCATACTCAGCCTGGGACGACCAGGCAAGACTTCCTAGGGAAGTTCACCAGGTCTAAGCAGTCCTTTTGATATTATTAATTGAAGACATATGGGTTCCCTTTAAAGATTTTTTAAGCTTAAGAAACAAAAAGAACCAGAAGGTGCTAAAGTCAGGGCTGATTTCTCACAGAAATGCCCCCAAATGTGTCCCTTTTTGATGAGAACACATAGGAGCCTTGTCATGGGGGAGCTTTCCCTCAGTGGGTTCTGCTACAGCATGGTTAATTGTATCAAAACACGCTCCTGGGGAGACATCATCATTCTTCATGTCTCCAGGGAGTCAACAAGCAACCTATCCTGAGCATCCAAACACGGTGAGCCAGGCCTCGGCTCTCGCTTGGACGGGGTCACTTCCAACCCATGGTCGCCATGGCTCTGCCTGTGCTGTCTTTGGGATCCTACGGGTGAAGCCAGGCTTCATCTCCGCTTTACCATTCTTCCAAGAAACGCCTTAGGACTGACCTCCAGCCCAGTGGTTTAAGATCCTCACTGGAAGCTCTCACCCTGTCTGCCGCTGATCTGGGGGTAACTGTCTTGGCACTCCACAAGTAGAGCGCTTGCTCAACTCTAATTACTCGGTCGGTCAGAATCGTGTGGCCATGTCAGATGACCAGTCTACACTGCTGGCTACTGAGTCTGCGGTTCATTGTGGGACCTCTTTCATTCGCTCCCGGACGAGGCAGCTTCCTCACACAACAGGCTTCGCCTTCACCATCGTCTCGTCCTGGGCCTTCTCAAAGTGAGCGTTCTCCCAGAGTGCACTGCTGGTCTCCTAGGGGCACGGTCCCCCTAGCTTTGGATGCTCCGGATAGGTTGCTTGTTGACTCCCTGGAGACATGAAGAATGATCACGTCTCCCCAGGAGCGTGTTTTGATACAATTAACCATGCTGGTCTCATCGCATAAGAAAAGTGGCCTTACCTGTGACTTCAGTGGAGCTTATGTTGAAAGCCAAAGCTTGTACTTGTATTTTTTTGATTCCACTTCTCCGTGAACTTGTTGATGATCTCACATATGCTTACTCCAGCCATACTTTGCACAGAAGAACAATCAGTTCAACATTGAATGTTATAATGTTGCTAACTAAGCATCTGGATGCCTCAGAGGACAAAATAGTATTTGCCTGTATTTTCACTTCCTAAATTTTATTCAGTCTATATTTAATATTTTAAACTGAACAGCTATAATGTTCTTTGATGCTTTTCACAACTGCAGGGGAGCTTCAAGGGGTTCGTGGACAATTACATTAGCTAAAGCTACATTTTCCCACAACATTGTGAAGCCTTCTCATGGATGTTATGACTGTGTGTCCCTGTTGCTTGTGTATTTCTTTGTGGGATTTGCTTAGTCTGTCCCTGAACATGTTCTCCGTCTGCTGCCCTGAGTAGACTCCAACCCTTCACAAACATCATGACACTTATGCAATGTATGTATAATTAGTATGGTAGCAATATTTTACATGTTTTACTCACCTTATACAGAATATCTTGAATATGTCCAAATACATTTTACTGTTTTCCAAAGTATTAGTAGTGTGATCTCACAAAATTGAAAATCATGAAATAATTGACAAATTTGGAAGTTCTCATCGATAAATTTTATTTTTAGCAAACTCTGCCTTCCTTTGGCCATTTTGTGTCCATTATTTCACTCTTCGGGATTTTCAGTGAAGCAGGATGAACCACAATGTCATTGAACGACTCCTTCATTTTAAGCTACTTTCTTGTACCTGTAATTTTTAAAACAGGGGATATTCAGTTCTCGAGGAAGAAAGATCCTTATGGCAGATGCTGATGGCGCCACAAAGTTTCCAGATATTGAGAAGTTAGAAAAGGGACTGGATGACCTGCAGCCTTGGCCTGTGAGTATACAAACAAGAATTCACGCTGAAGAGAATGTCCCTGAAAGCTGGCGCAGATGCCTTTGGTGCGAAGTCTCCCCAGCGCCCCGGAGAGCTCGGCCTTTTGTTCTGAGTAGGGAGGAGGTGGTGGACATTGACTTGATTGGTGCTCAGTCGTGATTCTTCCTGGGTTTTACATCTACCCTAGTTTTGCTATTATGTCTTTTATTTGAAAGCACACACTTCTAGGTAAAGATGGCACAAGGAAAGCGAATCGCAGAATCTGCCTTTTGATGAATACTGTAAAAAAATAGTTGCGTGTTCTGTTTCATTTTTACCAGATGGCTGCAGATTTTTACTTGGCAAACTCCCATTTGATTTGTCAGCACGACAGCCCCTCCCGCCTTAGACGTTGACAATTAAAATAACAGCGTGTGGAACCGTAAAATGCCAAAGACACAGGTCGCCCACCATTTGACTGTAAATGTGTATAAAACTAAAGGGCTCCCTCTCTTGACCATTATCAGCTCCCAGTTCAGGTCATTGGATACAGACACATTTTCCGAGCCACCTCTTCACGTCAGATTGTTGATGCTGCCATTCTCCACACTTGGCCTCTGCATCAACCACGTGTCTGTACAGTCGTCCTGAGAGGTGGCCTCGCCCCCCGTTACTGAAACGCTGGCAGGAGCTCTATTTATTTATTTATTTTTTGCACAGAGCCTCTGTTTCTTCAGATCCGTGTGCGAAGCCCCGAGGCTGTCCACTCTTCTTCCAGCTCTCTGCTCAGCAGGTCTTGGCCACAGTCGCCTTCTGCAGCCTCTGTTTTTCTGTTTTATCTGGCCCTTTCCCCCCTTTTATTTCTTCCTTTTCCCCTGCTCCCCCTCGCTTGGCTCTGGCTGATTGCAGTATTTCTTGGGGTGGTCTTTCTGCACTCAGTTGTAAGACTGCTTTGGGAACCTCTCTCATCTCACCACTGCAGTAGCTGCAGCCTCGGGTAGAGTCCCGGTCCGTCCCAGTCCTCGGCGGAGAAGGAGCAGGCAGAGATCGCAGTTATGTCTGCTAAAAACTCTCCGATGGTCGGATTGTGCATCTCTGCGCGAATTCTCCTGTTTTTCTCCAAATTTACCATTTGGTTTTCTTTTTGAAATAAGGAACCTTTCATTTTATTTTTAAAAGTCATTTTTAATAAAGCTTTTTATTTCTAGAGTACTTTTGCATCTGACTTTAAAAAAAACTGATTTCTAAATTGACTCAGCTGTATCGAGTGTAGGGCCACTTTGTATTTCCAGTGCCGTATGTTTGTATTGTAGCTGTGTTGGTGATTTAGAATTCAGGTATCATGCAATTCAATAGTTCAGTC